AAAAATAGAAGAACCAGACAAGAAAGACAAGAACAACAAAGACTTGATTTGGAAACATTCGGAGAGACCATGTCGAACGGAACCGGAAGAAGCACTCGTGGAGGCAGCAGAGGAGGTGGAAGAGGTCGTGGAGGCAGAGGAAGCTCTTCATATCGAGGTGGAAGAGGATCTAGTACCAGAGGAAGCAGCAGAGGTGGAAGAGGATCTTCAAGAGCTGAATCCAATGAATAATTCTATTATTCCATTTTCTTTCTTGTCCTGTTTTCCCGAATGTACAAAAAGAATTCTTGAACTAAGCATAAATTCGAACTGAATTGTTATTTTCTTTGAGAATGTTAAGGTTTGAGATGATTTCACACACATCAAATTTACGGAATGCAGAGCCAAACAACCACAACGCTAGTGTTGTTTTTAATTTGGAGTCAAATTGACCAATCTGAGGTCGATTTTTCTCGGATTAACAGGCATCACATCTCTTTCATTCACACCTTCATCTTGTTTTCCAACTCGATTCTTTCATTCGACTCGTGTTCTTCAACTCGTTTACTGTACAGTTGAATTTCCATGCTTCGTTTGTTGCACTCAATTTCATCACGTATTAGTGGTTACAACATCCGCTGTTGGTTTAGGTTCTTCTTGAAAGGGTTTCATGAAGAAGAGTTCGTGTGTTGCAAAGAATGTGTTCTCATGACTGTTTTGATTTTGGCGCTGACATATGAATAGATTCCTCTTCTGATTTCGGTTTATAAAAACAGAATACTCTCTCTTTAAATGTGAAGAGTGACTTGTTATGTTAACGTTTGTAGCTCTAGTTCCAACGGTTGTCACTGAAGCACATTGTGTTTGACAAGTAAAAAACTAGTTCGAACCTCACACTAACGCCACCATTTCATTGCCATATGACAAGCAACATCAAGAACTGGAATCTTCTATTTCCCAATCTTCCCACTGTATATCTGGATTTTGATGGTGGATTTCAGTCGATTTTTTGGACAATTCACTCGTTCAACTCCTGCTTCTTTGTTTTACCATATTGGTTCATGATAAGAACCATCTTTCAAAATGTCCATGCGAAGAACACCTACATCAAACGATTCATTGTTTTGTATTGTTGTTGGAAAGTTTTCACTCGTTCAACCGCATCCAAGCAACAAGAAAGAACGAGTGCGTTGATGATGAAGATAATGTTTGGGATTTGGATGTGTGAAGAAATTGCTTTTCTTGTGGAGAGTGAGATGAATGGAATTGTCTTGTTCATGTGTTGTCATCTCTTGTTGATAACTCGATTCACGCTTGACATTTGGCATTTATACCAACCACCACGCACAAAGAACCATCTTTTAGAAACAACAGAAACTACAACCACCACAACCTCAAACAACAGTATCACATTGAAGAACGATTCCAATATCCAAGAACCACCTCTCATTATGGATGTCGCTCAAGATGTCTCTCAAAAAACATCATACCATGCAATGACTCCAACAAGACTCTTCATTTGGATAATTCATTCATCGACTCGTAGTAATAGATGGTGGTGTCTTTTCATTTGTTTATTTCTCTTTTTCTTCATGGCTTTCTTAAATCAATTTTTCTACGCTCCCTTAATGTATTCTTCAGAATTATTGAATTCTTCGTCATTGACTCTTTGGGTGGGATGAAACTGTATAGTTTCTCTTAAGTTGTTCAGTGAGTTTGAGTGTGATTTATTATTTCATCATCCATGACATGAAAAAGAACTCCACAACAACAACAACAACGAGTGAATCTTCGGCGAGTCCCTCCTTATATACCATGATGGGAATGATATTCTTGTATGTGTGTGATATTTGTGTTGGATTTGATTTGGTGTTGAAGAAAGATTCCATTGCATGGTTATGGGCCAATTCATTCATTTGGGTGTTTTATGTTCCTTCATTGATTTGCTTGACAGAGAGTTGTTGTCACCGAGCTGATAATTTTGAGGGCAGGCCAAGTGCTGGATGAAAGTTACACCTTCATTGTTCACCCTGAACGAACAATGCACACAAAATGCTGCCAGAATAACAAACATCGATTCATTCAATGGACAACCTTTTCTAAAGAATCGTTTAATGTCATCACAGACTAATAAATTACATCAATCATCTGAAGAATGAAATAAAATCTCACACCATCTAATGTACAAGCAAACCCTTTGCAACTTCTTGGCTGGCTTCCTTAGAAACCATAAGCTCAATAAGCTTAAGAGCGAAAAATACAGCAGTGAATGGACCTTGTGATGTCACGACATTTCCATCGACGACCACCTTCTCATCATGCCAATCATAGTGTGGCATTTTGTCTTTCAAAGATGGATAACAAGTCACCTTTTTCACTCCATCCAAAAGGTTATGTTTGGTCAATACGAGAGCAGGACTGAAAGGCATGATCATTCACAAAATATTAAACATCCAATTTGAATAACAAACACACACATGAATACACACGATCGTCCTCAAATTATTATTCAAAATTCTGCATTACTCACCTTGCGCAAATAGCAGCAACAATTCCGTGTTCACTCTTTTTCTGCTTGGTCAATCGATTCAACAATTTAGTATTCTCAGAGAATATTTTGGCTCCTCCCATACCACCTGGTAAGATGATTGCTCCATACTCTTGATCCACGACATCATCAAAATGAGCATCAGCCTCGAGTTTTACACCACGAGATCCGATCACTCTTAAATTGGATGGATCGTAATGTTGTTGTGGATCATGAACTTTTGCAACTGTAACCTGAATATTTCCTCTTCTCAAAACATCAATAATATTAACTGCTTCCATCTCTTCCGAGCCTGTAGCGATGCACACCAAGGCATTCATGAGTCGGGAAGAAGAAGAACGAGGTGAAACCATTTTTTTTCTTTGCAAGAACCCATCATGGACAATTTACAAGTGTAGCCCTGTAATGCACATAGGGCCATGATCTTGATTAATACGAAATTTCCATTGAAGAAGACGACGATATATTTCATTGACTCATGATGATGCAAATTCCAAACAATTCAAAAATTTACAAACAACAAATTGCCTTCATGTTCAAGTTAAAAAATGAGGCTTGTGAGGTGAGTTTTTTTTCAACAAATTGTTGTGATGATGATCATTACTCTCTTCCGTAATATGATTTTTGTATCGGAATGGATGTGAATGCGTTTCCTTTGCTTGATGATGTGAACAAATGTTTTTATCGGATGGAAATTATTTTTTTATCGATATGGGTTAACTTTGAAATGCTTTGGATGTGTTATTTTGATTCTAATCAATATACAGATTCCTTATGAAATTGAGTGGAGAATCGGTGACCATTGAATTGAAGAATGGCACTGTTGTTGCCGGAACCATCGTAGGTGAGTAGTGTTCAAATTCCTATATATTTATTTTGTTCATCATTGTCAAAATTGTCTTGTGCTTTTCACCTTACATTCTTACATCGTTCAATATTTTGAAATATGCCACAACGATTGACACAAATCAATTATTATTTCTATTATCACCATTCATCAGGAGTTGATATGAGTATGAACACACATTTAAAAGCAGTCAAGATGACATTAAAAGGAAAAAATCCAGTCTCTTTGGAGCATATGAGTGTGAGAGGAAGTAACATTCGATATGTCATTCTACCAGAGTCTATAAATTTGGATAATCTTTTACAGGACACGACAGTTCATCCAAAACCAAAGAGGAGAACAGCAGGACAAGCTCAGAAAAGAGGCGGCGGAGCCTCATCTAGAGGAAGAGGAGGAAAACGAAGAGGTGGAATGAAAGTGTAAATGATGCTAATCTACTAGTGTGTGCTCAAATAATTTTCAATAATTTCAATAATAATAACAATACCAAAATATTTCAGAAATACTACTAAAACATCATCATTATTCAACAACAACTAAATACAACAGATGATTTGGCATTGTCGTATATTGTCTCGAGAGGCTCTACAACGAAGGTTTGGCTTAATTCAAGATTAGCGAAAGGAAATATGTCTTGTGAAATCAGCAACATATCTGTGACCACCTTCACACAACATGTTTTACAGATTTCCATTTCAGCAAGCGAAACAACAACGTCCAGATGGCATTTGGCAAGACAACTTTAAAAAGAAAGAATAGCAAATTCTCCATAATCAACCCGACCTTCGGCTTTTTGAAAAGGATCGTCAGTTCGGGAACCGATTACTTCTACTGTTTGGACAACCTTTCCTCTCGGCCGATTTCAAAAGATGACGGTCGCACACCACACTTCCCATCTCGCTTACAACGCGATCTCTGTTAACCTCTTCAAAAAGAAAGACAACACAAAGAGCTCGACCACACTCATCTTTGCACACTTTTTCACATTTCCACTAGTTCACACTTTCATCACTTGTACTCTAAAAGAATCAAAAGCAATCACCTTACCAACAGCAAAAAATGAATCCCTCATCACACAAGGCTGCAACCCATATTCTCCGAAAGGTAAACCACAAGGCGACCCTCTTGAAATCTACCTTGTCGTCCTCATCGTCTTGTTGCCAAAAGGCGTCCTTCTCCAGTGTTGCTTCCAAGACTCATAATCCACATTTCGGTATTGTGGGTATGGAGGCCTATTTCCCTAATCGTTTTGTTTCTCAATCTGCTTTGGAACAACATGATGGAGTCAGTGAGGAAAGTACACGATTGGATTGGCACAATCCAGAATGGCCGTTGTAGATTTGGAAAGAGAAGATACAGTCTCTCTTGCAATGAGTGCTGTAAAGCGCCTCTTTGAAAAGTACTCCATTGATCCAAAGCAAGTTAAGAGGCTCGAAGTTGGTACTGAATCAGCCATCGACAAATCCAAATCCATTAAGAGCTTTATTATGCAAGAATTCCCTCAAGTAGAATACTCTGAAATGGAAGGAATTGATACTATTAACGCTTGTTACGGAGCAACTAATGCTCTCTTCAATGGACTCTATTGGCTTAATTCGGAACATACCACCACCAAGAAGAATGATGTTTACAGTGTTGTGGTTGCTGTTGATATTGCTCAATACGACAAGGGCCCAGCAAGACCAACCGGAGGTGCTGGTGCTGTTGCCATGTTGCTAGGTAGAGATGCTCCTTTGAGTTTCAGTGATTTCAGATTGAAGGCTTTCCATATGGAACACGCTTATGACTTTTACAAGCCAAAGAAGACTAGTTATTTCCCAACAGTGGATGGACAATATTCAAATGTTTGCTATTTGAAGGCTTTGGATATTTGCTATGAGAGATTGAGATCCCGACACGAACAGCCAATTTCTGTGGCTGATTTGGACTATTTGTGTTTCCATGCTCCTTACAATAAGCTTGTTCAAAAGTCCTTTGCTCGTATGGTTTACAGTGATTTTGCTTTGGCTGAGGAAAGTCAATTGGAGTCCTTGTATGCCAAGTATGGAATTAAAGATGACGAAACCAAGTCAAAGATTAATCAATATGCTAGAAGTCAACCAAGAGAAGAGACCTACAATGACAATGAATCAAGCAAGTTCTTTATTGCACTTACAAAGAAGATGTATGAACAAAAGGTTGGAGCCAGTACTTACCTTCCAAGAGAGTTGGGAAATACCTATGCTGCTTCCTTATATGCTGGATTGACTTCATTGGTTGGTTTGAAAGGTCAAGAGCTCCAAGACAAACGTATCAATTTGTTCTCTTATGGATCTGGATTGGCAGCTGCCATGTTTGAATTCCAAGGAAGAGAGACCACTCACAAGAAGCACAGATATCAATTGGAGGATATCAAGAATATTCTCGATTTGCCAAACAGACTAAATCAAAGACAAGAAATTACACCAGAAGAATATTCCAAGACAATGGATCACAACATGGATGTTTACCTTAAACATGATTTTGTTTCATCCACACCAACCGACTACATTTCATCTGGTGCTTATTATTTGGATAGAGTGGATGACAAGTACAGAAGATTCTATCTCAGAAAGGAGTAATATGTATAGTTAAGTGTATAGTAGGGAAAGGTGGTGTTCATCTTAACCTGAACAACACACTTTCTAGATTGTTATTTATCTAAGCATGATTTGTTTTAACAACAATTCGTAGAGAAAGAGTTGTATTAAATTTTGATGACATTGGTTCGTCACATAAGTTTCTTCAGTTTGGTTTTCGCCTCGTTTTACTATGTGAAACAGTCCAGTGAATAACTTGTTGTTTGGGATGATTCATCTTGTGATGGTGATGATGGTGGTTCTCTCACAATTACTGTTTTGCTTCTGTTGAGGACGACATTAAAAATACCACGATATCCTTATCGAATAATATACAATGAAAAATGTAACGACAATAATTCCAACTAGTTGCCACATTTGTTTCCAAGTTCTCACTTCAAACACTTGTTTCATGTGTTTCATTATTCCGCCCATCCCAGATTGTGTTTCCGACGCAGTGGTTGTGGTTCTTTTCAGGAAGAAACCTGTGACGTAACTTCATCACGCATTTCTCCAGCAATTTGTTTTAACGCCTGACTTGATTTTCCCATCTCCATTGCAACTTGATCAAATTCCGATTCTTGTAAATCATCTTCCTGTTCACTAATTGTTCGATCCCGATACGATGGTGATACTGGATTATTTGATTTTGATGATTCCGATACATGATGATTATTTTGAGAGGACGACGATGAACCAAACAAGGATGACTTTAACTTGCTGGTTGAAACGGTTGCTGGCGACATTTTTTCATTTTGCTATTTTAGTTGTGGTTTGACGTGGATGCAAGTTTTGTAAGAAGAAGATATTGAATTGAACCAATTCGCAATGATGATGAACAAACAGGAAACTAGTATTGGGTGTTGTACACTACGAATATATAATTTTTTGTAATTTTTGCCACATGTCTTTAATGGTTGCCATTTGAAACCTTTTAAAAGAGAAAACTAGTTGCGAATGCATTATTTATTATCATTCAATACGATCGATAGTCAAAGCAAACACATCTATTTTCAGGAGATTTTTCTCGACTCTACAAGTTGTTTGACTATTTGCACTGAACTCTATACGGAGGTCTTGCCATATCAGTTCTGTGACAATTACAATTCTTCAACATTGGTCTCCACAACTTGACCCTCGAGAGGAGTACTCGTAATATCCAATGTTTCCTCATTATCTTCATTGACCTTACTAGAAAAGTCCACAAATATTTTGGAATTTTCCTTCACGGTTCCTTCCAACAAGAGTTTTGCAAGTGGAGTCAATAAATAACTGTGAATGGCTCGTTTGAGAGGTCGAGCTCCGAAATGATAATCAAATCCAACATGAGCTAACCAATCCTTTGCTTGTTGACTCACATCCAAAAGCATTCTCCTTTCTTTGAGTTGTTTAGCAATTCGAGAAAGTTGAATATCCACAATTTGTTTCATATTCGCTTCGTTCAATCGATTGAAGAAGACAATATTGTCAATACGATTCAAAAACTCTGGTCTGAAATAATGTTTAAACAAGTCATTCACTTCCTTCTTGGCTTCACTTGAAGGAACTCCTGGTGGAAGTGAAGCAAAATTTCAGATCCAACGTTAGAGGTCATAATGACAATGGTATTTCTGAAATTGACATGATTACCTCTTGAATCAGTGAGAAAACCTTCATCCAATAATTGTAACAAAACATTCAAGACATCTCTGTGAGCTTTTTCAATTTCATCGAACAAGACAATTTGATAGGGTTTTCGTCGAACAGATTCTGTGAGTTGTGGGCTATCCTCGTAGCCAATATAACCAGCAGGAGCTCCCAATAATTTGGAAACACTGTGTGACTCCATCAATTCAGAACAATCAATTCGGACCATTGCATTCTCATCATCGAATAGGAATTTTGCAACTTGTTTTGCCAATTCTGTTTTACCAGAACCTGTTGTACCACAGAAAAGGAATGAACCTAGTGGTCGGTTTGGATCTGTCAATCCAGCTCTCGAAATTCTAATGGTATTGCAAATGACACGAATGGCTTCGTCCTGACCAATGATATATTTGGAAAGATGTTCTTCCATTTTAGCAATTTCTCTTTTCACCAATTAACAAATTTTCAAGTGGAATTCCAGTTCTGCGAGAAATAATTCGAGAAATATCAGCTTCCAAAACAGAGTCACTAATCATTGTGAAACCAGTAGAGATTTGTTCAATTTCCTTTTTCAAATCTGGAATGGTCTTGTATTGAAGTCTTGAAGCAGTTTGATAGTCTGCCTTACGGAAGGCCTCTTCGAGTTGTTTCTCCAACTGAACAAGTTGTTGTTTCTTTTCTTTTGTAGTCCTTAATCGATCTCGTTCTTCTTGCCATTTCTTAGTGAGGAGATCACTTTGTTTTTGTTCTTCCTCAATTTTCTTTTCAAGTTTCTTTCTTCGTTCCATACTGGCTGGATCTTGTTCATTTCTCAAAGATTCTAACTCGATACGAGAAATGATGATTGAACGATCAATCTTTTCTAAATGTTCTGGTTTGGATTCTTGTTGCAATCGAATGGATGCTGCTGCTTCATCGATTAAATCGAGTGCCTTATCTGGAAGAAATCGATCAGAGATGTATCGATCGGATTGAACCACGGCACTCACAATGGCATTGTCACTAATTCGAACACCATGATGAGCCTCGAGATTTGCTTTTCTGCCTCTAAGCATGGCAATGGAATCAATCACAGAAGGTTCATTCAAAAGTACTTGTTCGAAACGACGAGCGAGTGCCTTGTCTTTTCAATATGAACTCTGTATTCATCCAAAGTGGTAGCACCAATACAGTGCAACTCTCCTCTTGCAAGAGCAGGTTTTAACATGTTCGACAAGTCCACTGAACCTTGTGCATTTCCAGCATTCACAATCATGTGAATTTCATCAATAAATAAAATAATTTCACCTTCATATTCTCGAATGTCTTTGAGAATGGCTTGAACTCTTTCTTCGAATTCACCTCTAAATTTTGAACCAGCAATAACTGCTGCCAAGTCAAGTGCAATCAATCTCTTTTTCTTAATGGAATCTGGAACTTCTCCTTTCACAATTCTTTGAGCTAGTCCTTCAACGACGGCTGTCTTACCAACACCAGGTAAACCAATGATCACTGGATTGTTCTTTGTTTGACGTGACAACACCTGAATGGTTCTTCGAATGACATCATCACGTCCAATGATTGGATACAATTTTCCTTTCCGAGCTTCTTCAGTCAGATCAATTCCGAACTTTTTCAATGCTTCTCCCTTTTCAAAGGTAGTTTCCCATGGCATCTTTCCACTCATTCCACCACTGCCACCAAAGTTTGGATTCATATTGGTGTGATAGGATCTCTTCATGACTACTAGTCCGCCATCAGAGTTGTGGTGGAGACTCAGTGGTGATTGTAGGTGTGATGCATTCCGATTAAACTGCAAATTCAAACTCGTAGGACAGTTGTTATTTACATGATGTTGTTCGGAAAATCGAAAAGACTTGAATCCTCTAATCTGATAATTTTGTATTTGCAAATTGGATGCAATCTTGGCATTGGATCGGATGTGAGTCGAAACGTTTTTAGTCAAATTGCTCTGCAGCAACAACGACGAAGACGACGAAAAGATGTGTGAAGTGTGTTTGAGCATTTTTTTGTGTTGTGAAAGATTTGACTTTTTGATTGGAGTTTTTATTGAAAGGTTCATGAATAGGGTCATGGTGGTTTGGATTGAGCGACAAGAAAGGAAAGCTCGGAATTGATGAATTCCGAACCTATTTTAAGATGTGTGAAAAGAATATTAGTTCTGTCATTCAAGTGATCAATGAATCATAAAGTGCAAAGAGTGACGGAATGCACCAGGAAAGAGCTCTTGTGGCTTCTCTCGTAGTCGCAATTGATGACACTCTGAAAAAAATGTCATCTCATCATTACAACAAAAACGAGCAACTGATCAGCAAAAAGAACGATGGATTTTTTGCTCTGATTCTTTTTTATACGATGAACGTGTTCGAAGTGTTCCGAAAGATATTTTCCACACTCTCCGAATTTACTAACACTTATCATGGACATGAAGATTTGAATCATCATGAAAACGAAGTGAAAGAAGAATAGACGAACGGCATGATCATTATTTCATTAAAAGTTGTTAAAAATTAATTTTAATGTGAAATATAATTATGTGAATCTCAAATAATATTATTGTTGAGACAACCTGTGAATTGGCTAGGTTGTATATTTCGGTTCGATGATTCTAATTTAATACTTACCTTTGGATAACTATATCATTATTAGAGTGCTTTTTCTCGAATGATTCAATCGAGGAGGATCAAATCCTAAAATAGATAATTTGCATTCAAAGCGAAAGTACTAATCACATGAAGAAGGTTTCTAAATGAATTGAACTCTGGATAATGTGAAAAATGAGAGATTTTCAATTTTTGTGATGGAGCTAATCTCGGAATACTCAGATTCCGAACACCTTCTAAAAATAAACTTCACTCTTACAAAAAAAATGACCAAAGCAGACGTGAGACCAGATTCGAATTTGTCAGGACTGGAGCATCCCACAACCTCGACCTCAAAGAAGGAAAAGAAGAGAAAACCCTATGTCAAGAGAGCATGCTTGAGTTGTCATTCAGCACATGTAGCTTGTGATTCAGAAAGACCCTGTCGAAGATGGTAAGTACTCTAGTGTTCAACGAACAAAATTCATGGATGACACCACACATTCGTTAATATTGTATTTAATTTTTTTTTATTTGAATTTAAAATATTTAATATTCGATTTGTGTGTTACTACTGTTATTTGATTTTGTTTGAAAATCTATATGTACAAACAGCAAGAAGAAGGGAATTCCATGTGTCGATTACATACCCTCAAAGAAATCTAAATCCAACAAGACTTCAACCTCTGATGACGACGAGGCTGAACAGGTGCAAACACTACTAACGGACAACAACAGCCAATCAGAACCTTCAAACAGCAACGTCGTAGGAGATCATCCAACAACAT